AGCGGGCTGTCATACCCCTCAATCATGGAATATGCCTTGAACTCGATTGGTTGTAGTGGGTGAAAGAAACTACCCGCAGGCTCCATAGTAGTTCGTTTTGGGGATTAATTACTTTAATATAGGATTCCAAATATTGAACTCCCAAAAGGAACTACTATGGAGCCTCTAGGCAGCGGTTGTGAGTTATGCCCTGCATCCACTGGGCACCCTAAACCCTAAACCCTGAACCCTAAACCCCCCTGCGTCCCCTGAGCACCGGGCAAAGACATCAACCTGTAGTCTCGCGCAGAGCTCCCTGGCAGAATCAACTTGCCCAGAGACCCTAAATTACGGAATAGACCGGAACACACCTAGATTCCTAGATTTAGGAATAGACCTAGGGTTCCTTGAAGGGAAGGGATCTCTAGGGTTTAAGGTTTAGAGACTCCAATATCCCCTAATTAAGGAATAAACCTTAAGTTATAGTAGGATCCCTAATATGATTGAAGGAACATTCCTTAATTCAGGGATATTGGAGTCTCTGGGTGGCTTAAGTGGTTTGTCAGGGCTTTGGGTTTCTGGGTTTGGTCTATACGGGCAGACGACGTGAGGATGCTTCAGGGTGCAAGAGCAAGCAATCCAAACCGGGTGCCCCTCGGGGCCAAAAACCTAAAAATGGAAACTCTTTGAGCTTTGTTCATGCAGAGAGAACCCTAAACTAAACTCTAAACCCACAAGAGAAGCGAATCTAAGCAGCGAAAGCCTGGCCACCACCAGGCAAACAGCCCTCTCAACCTCTCCAGGGTCGTCATCGGGCTATGTGAAAAGTCACAAAACAAGCAAACCCCAAAACACCTTAAACTTGTTAAACGAGGTCAACCGTACGATTGGAGTAGGCACTCAGCTTAAGCTGACACTGCGAGGAGCCCACCGGCAAGCACTACTCCAAACCCTAGCCAATCGAGGTGGGGCCTCAGGTGTTGGAACATGATGCCAATGTCGGTGCTGTTGCCATGGCTGAAGAGGAGAGTCCTGGACCGAGGTGCATTAAGTGAAACCACAAATCCCGTCCTGCTTTAGGGTTTAGGATGAGGGGTTTGGTTTATAAGCCGGGGGAGTTCAAGGTCTTCCATGTTGGTTCTCGGCCCCAAATCCGCAATGTGGGTGGCTTTTTGGGGTAGCCAGTTCCTCTTAAACCTTCGCAGTCCCAACACTTCTCTAGATCTTAATTTAAACGCCTAGAGTAAGTGCTTCTTGACACAATAGCCCCGGAACCCTGAACCCAAACTCAAGGAAAGAACACCCTAAACCCAAGCATCCCTGAGCCCTTAACATCCCTGAATATCCCTTCACCCTAAACTCAGCCCTATCCCTAAACTCAACCCTAAAACCCTAAACTCAAACCCAAACCCCTCAAACTCAAGCCCGGGTCCGGGTCGAATCGGCGCGCTTGAAGTGGAAGCCGAGAATGACGTTATTCCTGAGGAGAGGGCGAAGCTATACTTGGAGGGGCAGGGGACTTAGTAAGTAGGTTATAAGTAGGGTTATAAGTAGGGTTATAATTGGGGTAACTCCATTTAGGGTACTTATAACTCTACTTATAACCTACTTACTAAGTCCCCTGCCCTTCCAAATACTATAGGGGCAAGGGGTTACGAACAGGGATCTATAAGGGTCCTATGATATAGGGTACCTTTAGGGGTTCTTTAACAGGGTTCTATAAGAACTACTAGAAGAGTTTCTAGAATATAGGGGCCACTGTCCATCTTCTTGGTTTAGGCTTGGGGTTTAGAGGATGTAGAGCTCTAGTTAGCTAACAGGTAGCTAGCTAAAATAGGTTAGTGGCATACATCATATTTTTGTGGTTAGTAATGGAATGCTGTTTAGGTAGCCAGCTAGACCTTAACTACACCCCCGGGACGGGACTGGTGGTCGAAGCATCAGCCCTGAAAGTAGGCGGACTAGTTTTGTTGGTACGCCTACGTAGTGGCACTAGTGGTACAAGTGGTTGGTGGTGGTGGTGGTGGTGGTGGTGGTGGTGGTGGTGGTGGTGGTGGTGGTGGTGGTGGTGGTGGTGGTGGTGGTGGTGGTGGTGGTGGTGGTGTGGTGGTGGTGTTGGTGTTGGGGTGGTGGTGGTGGTGGTGTTGGGTGGGTGGGGTGGTGGTGGGTGGTGGTGGCGGGGTGGAGGTGGGTGGTGTGGTGGTGGTGGTGGTGGTGGTGGTGGTGGTGGTGGTGGTGGTGGTGGTGGTGGTGGTGGTGGTGGTGGTGGTGGTGGTGGTGGGGGTGGGGGTGGTGGTGGGGGTGGGGGTGGGGGGGGTGGTGGTGGTGGTGGTGGTGGTGGTGGTGGTGGTGGTGGTCGCGGTCGTGGTCGTCACAACCAACAAACGAAGGCAAAGACTATCCTAGTGCCCAACATGCTAAGCCTGACCTGAACTCGTACTCATACCTTGACATCCCACAAGGCTATCCTCGTAGCTCAGTGCATTTCACTGAACCAGTTGTTGGAATCCCTGCCTCCTCGTCCACATCCGAACAGTGTCCACCACTATCCCCTGCGCAGAGTCTGTGTGGGCTTGGCTTTGGGCTTGAGGTTTCGGGCTCAAGCTGGGAGTTCTTCTGCACTCCAGAGTTGTTCAGCCGACCTTCACAAGGTTGCAATTCGGGAAAATGCTTCAAATAGAGGAATGAAGCATCCCTATCAGCAGATCGAATGACAACCTTGCACAAAAATGTTGGGGGTAGGGTTCGGAGAACTATGAGATTACGGAGACTCCTGTATCGCTGCTGCAGTGCATGTTTACATTATATACCTGGGGCCTTGGGCGCCCTATTATTATTGGTTATTCTTATAGAACCCGGTTATATACTTGGCGACCAATTATTATTAGATGCCAAGGACGCACGCCCGTAAATCTCGAAGTGCCGGATGGCAAGGTTGAGGGCTTGGAAGTACTATCCCCGGAGACCCTGAAGATCCATTTGATGCCGAACACCGAAGCCTTTGATGTATATAGGAGCAATCAAGTCCGTGGGAGAACACCGTATTAAATCCCGAATGCATAGAACTGAGCCTTTTCATACCCTCGACACCAAGTCATACCCCAAAGAAAGCGATCATAAATCCACAATTGAAGTATCAGAACCTACTGAGATCCCTGGGCCCCTAGGCCTTAAAGACATTGCTGCTCATTCTCCGGGGCATACACACATTACTGAGGAACCCAGCTCATACAGTTAATGAGAGAAACCATCCAACTTCAACCCAAAGATCCGTGCACTCTTTGCCACATGTCGCTTTCGACTTCATCTTCATCGCTCGGTCGAGGCTGGATAAGGGCTCTAGGGATTGATATTCCAAGGTTTCTTCGGGCTTGTGCAACTTCAGGCTAGATCTGCTAGACTGCAAATGAGTAGGGACTGAAGCTGAGCAAGGGGGTGCTAACGTTCCAACGCCAGGCAGAAGCTGCTCATCAAGCTCTTCGGTGGTGGCTTTGCACTACCTTGGCGAGTGCGCTCCCCTCCATATAGGGAGTCTGGGGTCATGTGTTGGCATACAGCGAGTCTGATCCATATCTCTCTTCATAAAGCCATTTCGGCCTCATTTTGAGTCTTCCTTTTCTGTTGGCCGCGCGATGGTTGACTTTTCGAAGGTGCCACAACAGTGGGATGACATCGCCACGTTGAGACGACGTTGTCAGAAGGGCAGGTCTTTGATGGTATCTACCACGAAAGATATCAAACAAGTCCTGGGAAACATCAAGAATGTGTCGGAAAACTATGAAATCCTTCGACCTTTGGTTCTGTGCATGTCGAACAACGGTGTTGTGGATACACCGCCAGTCGAGAAGCTTAGCCAACTGGTTGCTGAATTTTACGGCCTAGCTGGTTTTCCGGATCCTAACTCCGTAGAAGCCGTGGCACACCAAGATGCCTGGGGCATCAAAAGATGCCTCTCTTTGCTTCGGAGGAAGTGGAGTAGAATGGAGAGACCCAAGGACCTCAAGAGTGGGCTTGAAAATAAATGTTATTTTAGGAATTTTATATAAGTTTCTAGTGTTGGTGATTTTGGGTTGGGGATGATATTTAGATGGTTGTTTGTGCAAGGACTCGCGCGCTGCAGAACTTGTGGACCTCTACGAGAAGGCTTTTGGCATCTTCATGCGGGTTTCTTGGTTGAAGATCTTAATTAATTTATGTCATGAGTTCTCAAATGGTCTATAGCGGTCTTGGATTGATGATTTTTGCACTCTTGGGATACTAGAGCTGAGGGCGGCGGTGATGCTGCCAGCGCGAGGCGGCCGGATGCCGGAGATGATGGGTCTGACCCATACATCGTGGAAGGTGACACTGAGACTGATGAGTCTCAGTCCTCACCGCCTTGTGGGTCGGTCGCTGTGCCAGCAGCTGAGAATGAGAGCCCTGCTGTGGCTGTGGAACCGGCTGGGACAGAGTCCAGTCGGGCTCCCACAGAGGCTCCAAGGGAGCCTACTGGGGCAGTGGCAGTGCCTGCTCGGGCTGATGAGGGGCCTTGGTGGTCTCGTTGCTTCCCGCGACAGACGGAGCCGGAGAGCTTTTCTGTGGATGATTTGATGCCTCGATCCCTGAATGAAGTGCTGGCCCAGTTTGATGACTCAGAGCCTGAGGAGCCATCCGCTGGAGCATCCAAGCACCGGTGGATGGAGGATAATGAAGCAGACAGGAAGCAGTTGCAAGCTTTGTTGGCTGCCAGTGCTGCCAAGTTGGAGAAGCTGTTCCCTCTCGGCAATAGTTTCTAGTGCATGATTGTACTACAATGCAAAGTAAATAGAGAATCGGTTCTCGGAGTATAGTGCGAAATATAGAGAATGTGATCTCAGGCGTAGAGCCACGCCTCTGGGTCCCGGCCACAGCTCTGCAAGAGCCTTGACTTTGGGCAATACAAGAATAGTACTGTAAGGTTTTCGTTTTCATTCAGGGTTCGATTGATTTGCACATCATTTGGGCGAGCAGGTTCATCGAAGGACCTGCCTGCACATGGATCTATGCGGGTGGATAATCTGGAGACGCAAGTGTGGGATGGAACTCCAGCTTCCCCGTCCCCACCTTCTAAGTGTTTGGACGTGATTGATTTGGATACTCCAAAGAAAGATCCGGTTAAGCAGGAGTCTCTGGAGCCAGAAACCGTCCCATCCTCAGCCCCGCTGCTTGCAGAGCCAGTCCCACACTCGGGCCCAGAGCCCATGGAGTCAGATCCCCCTGCAGAGCCAGAGCCGCACTCAACCCCGCCAGCCCCATCCTCAATCCAGCCTATGGAGCAGGAACCACCCCCGCTTGCAGAGCCATGCACAGACTCACCGGAGCCAACCCCGAAGCCGAACCCAACTCACTTGCGTTACAAAGAGGACTTGACTCCAGTGAAGCAGGCTTGGTGCTAGAAGTTTATGATAAATGGTAGCTTAAATTTTTTAAATATTGCCCTCTGAATCCTTTTGTGTATCCCTGGAGGTGCTCACGCGCAATGACCAACTCTCCATGAAGGCCGCAGCAGCGGATGAGGAGGGCGGTGGCCGCGGCCGCGGCCGTGGCCGCGGAAGAGGTCGTGGAAAGAAGAAGGCTGTTGTGCCTCCTGCAAGCACAGCGAGTGCTAAGGATGCAAAGCAAGCTCAGGCCGATGAGTGGGGTGATGAGTGGGGTGATGATTGGGGTGATGAGTGGGGTGAAGAGTGGTGTGATGAGTGGGGTGAGGACTGGAGTGCCGGGTGGGGTGCTGAGTGGGGTAACGGGTGTGATGGGTGGGGGGCAGAGGCTGCGGCTTCTAATCCCAGCAAGCTTGGCAAGAAGAAGCGTGAACGCCAAAGCAAGAAGGCCACTGAGGAGCCATCAGTGGCTCCAGCAAAATCCACCCCGGAAGACTCCAAGGCTGCAGGCAAGCCAAAGGCCAAGGCTGTGGGCAGGGCCAGAAAGGGCTCCGCAGATGTGGCGGCTGCGGCTGTGGACGACGATGATGGGTTCGAGTACCCGCAAACGTTCTCTCGGCGGGCTTGCCCGCCGTTGAAAGGAAGTGATGCCTACGTGTTGTGGCGAGCCATCACAAAGAGCTTCTATGATGGGGTCTTGCCGACGATTGAGCGCGGGTCCCGCACCGTTGCAGAGGCAGGGGTGGGGAACCATAAACAAACGTGTTGAAAATTTATGATCAAAGCCCTGGGGTCTTCAGGCTACGTATTGGCAATACTCCCGCATCCGCTGGCAGCAGAGTGGACTGAACCCCGGAGACGAGGGTTTCATGGAGATGATGAACATGGCTGCTTCGGAGTTTGTGGTTCTTCAACCTTCTGCGGCAGAGGTGTCTTGTGTAGTTTTGGTGCTGTTTGATTATTTTGTTATTGATGAGATTGGTCTCTCCCTCTCTCTCTTCGTTTCTCTTTCTCTCTCGCCTAAGGTAAAGGAAGCTGCTGAATCGCTCGCGATGTGAGGAAGTTCGGTATGGATGCAGCGCATCCATACTTCCGAGATTTTGGATTCATCTTCTAGTTGTTCCGAGCTTGGTTGAGGCAAACAAGCCTTGGGACTGAGAGCATCCGTACAGAATCCTGGACCTTCACGAAATCGAAACTAGCTTACTAGTCTTAGTCTAGGACCTAAATCTCCTAAACTTCTTAGGGCTGCTGCTCTGCTCAAGTGCTACATATACATGCACCCACAGAAGGTTTCCATCCTGAGGTTTCCAGGAGCTTCTGTCAGTTCACTGGGGAACTACATGGGTGCACTCAGCTTCAATAGCACTTGTTCCTCCGCCACGTGCGGTGACCCCGGCTTTCTGGTGTGTGGATCACGCTGAAGCCCTAGAGCTCATTGCTGAACGAGAAAAAAGTGTTTGTGCATGTATGCAAAGCCGACGTACAGGATTAGGTTTTTACTATAGGCTCAGTGCTTCAGCTGTGCTTCTTTTGCACCCATAACGAAGCTTTGTGAACGTAATCACTTGAAACCAAAATGCCCTGATTTCAGGTACTTATGGTGCTGACCGCTGGCACATGAATGGGGAAACGAGGCCTTGCAAGAGCAGGGCTGATTGAGGCCCCAGCCGATCAAGGTCGACACTGCCACGCTTGATTGACCTGCCACATCGGAAGTTTTGTTATATCAGTCCAGCTTCATGAGAATCTCTCCTCCATGCAAGAATGGATGCTCATGGAAGGTGGCTCTCATCGATGACCGGAATCATGTTCCTATATAATCTACAGCATTGTTTCTATGAGTGGGGCCATCTTTCAGGATATGTGCCGGATAGGTTTGCAGAGCTCTTGTAGTGTGCGGTGTGCTGCCATGCCTCCCACAGCTGAAGACCTTGTTCCCAAGCTGTTCAACCTCGGTGCCCCAAAGGTCTCTGGGCATAGTTCGGCTTTGAATATTTCTCTGGAGTTGGTGTTCATAGTCATGATGGGGCCCTATGGTTTCTGTGGTGGCCCAGGTTTTCGTGCTGTGCGTTCTGCTGGTCCTCTGGAACAAAGACATCATTTTCCACAAGGACACATCCCAAGTGCCTTCAGAATACATAGACCGTATTTCAGAATCGTCCCCTCCATTCTCGGACGACATAGGTATAATTCTACCTCGTGCCATCAATATCTAATGTCATGTGTCGATGGCAGACTTGTGTTCTGGATTCCTACGCCCACAAGAAAAGCTGCATGCTTGAAGCCCTAGACCTCCCTTTCGAACACAATCCCAACCCTAAACCTATATAGATGTATACTGCAAGAGAAACTCAAAGCACTCGACTGGCAATTGAAACCCTCGACCGAATCCGGGGAAAGGGGCGCGCTATTCAGGAGCTCGACTTCATAGAGCATTTTGCTGGCTCAGCGGTACTGACCGATGAGGCTCGGGGCTTCGGCTATCAGGCAACAGCCGTGGATAAGATCTATGGGCGAGGCTTTGACATATTACGGCCCAGTGGCTATGGGATCCTCGATCGTTGCAATTGCTGTGTTACATGTGTGTCGCTATCTCGTGCCAGGCTATGAATGGAATAGAGTTTATCTCTGCAACTTAGGACGTTCATTGCCACAGCTTTGATGGGGAAATCTTCAGGATTCCTGGACTGGTGCGGGGTACTCTGTTCCAGTTGGGTCTCGATGGCAAAAGGGACGACACGGAGATCGTATTGCCTTCCCCATGGATATACCGAGCACCGCTCAGTGTCTGACGGGAATATGATGGCTGCACGGCAATCGGCCTCAATTGGGTTTCTGGTATATGGATGGTTTTGAAGTACTCCTCAATTAAAGCTAGAGTCAGCTAGAGGTTGTGCGGGTATGTTCAGTTAGTTCAGTTTCCTGCTATTCCTACTCCTACTCCTACTCCTACTATACTACTATATAGTTATGACTACTGCTACTACTATTACTACTACTTCTACTACTACCATTACTCCTGCTGCTGCTGCTGCTGCTAGTGCTACTGCTACTGCTACTGCTGTAATACTACTACTACTACTACTACAACTACTACTACTACTACTACGACGACGACTATTACTACTACGACGAGTAGTAGGACGACGAAAAGGAACCCAAGCGGTCCCAAAACGGATGCCTGTCACTACTACTACTACTACGACTACTACTACCACTATCACTACCACTGCTACTACTGAGGGTGGCCCTGTTGGTGCTTCTCGTGACCGCGCTGGGTGGCAACTGGGTTATTGAGCAGCCCAGAAGCAGTCTGCTGTTCAATCATGAACGGTTTCAGTGGCTTTCGAAGCGTTTCAAGGTGCCCGCAGTTGCTAGGCATACATGCCACATGCAGTTGTGAAGTGTGCTCTATCATGTGAGAATTGAGCTGAATTGTCAGATCTACCGGATATGCATATGGATGGGCTCCTTCAATTCTTCGACTCCGAAACCTACGTTGCTGTGGTCGTCGACATCAGCTATCTCGGGCTTTTGGACGGGAAAGTTTCATTTGAAGGATTTCAATTCCAAAAAAAAACAGGGTGGACGGCTGGAACCTGTACTACGATACACAGACTGTCAGGGTCGTCGGAAATATCAAGGCACCCGGGACCTTACCAAGACAGGGTGCCTGGATTTGCACGATAACAAGTCTTTTCTGCAGTATTGGTTGACTTCAGGTATACCCACTAACTGCATTCGGAGCTGTGGTCTTGATTAAGATACTCCTTCGTACCCTAAGAAAGTCAAGTCCTGAAGACAAGGAACTCAAGACCTTGAAATCTGAAGCCTTAGGACCCTCGCACCCTAAACCTTTCACTCTATAGTGAACAAGATCCCACAACCCCGGGCCCACAAAACTCTAAAACCCAAAGCCTTAGGATCCTGAGACCTTGCTATTTTAAACCCTAAGAGCCTACCTCCTAGGACTCTGAAGCCCTAAAACGCTGTGCCTGAACTTCCATAGGATACTAAGCTCCATAGTCCCCAATAACCCTAAACCCTCCGATACCCTCCAGTCCATCTGAGGAAGTACACTCGGGGCTTCGCGCGACGCATGGTTCACCTGTTCAGTGAATTGACCAAGCAACCATTGGAATTGCAGCTTCGGGTTCGTCAGCCGGTTACAAGCTCTGCTTTGGAGATGTTTGCAAGGGCATCTTATAGCGATATGTGCGAGGATGCACACATGGTACAGGCAATTGCATATTTGCGGGGCTGTACTGGATTGCGCATACCAGATGAATGGAGGCCGCATATACCAGAATACTTGTAAAGCTTGCAATATGGACTATGCAGGAGTGGATGGCTGCGCAAGTTCCAAAGGATGTCGTGCTCGGGTTGGAATTAACTTATAGCACACTCACACTCTCCCTTTCCCCTCTCCCTCACTCTCTCTCTCGCTCTCGCTCTCTCTCGCTCTCTCTCTCTCTCTCTCTCTTTCTCTTTCTGTGTCTCTCCTCTTATAATAACATAATGGTGATCGTTGAATAAAGGGGTGCTTCCTAGTGATGAAGAAGCACCTATTTGTTCTGTCTCTCTCTCTCTCTATCTCTCTGCCTCTCCTCTTATAACAACATAACGACGATCGTTGAAAAAGGTGTGCCACAAAAGCTCACCCGCGCTCTCTCTCTCTCTCTCTTCTGTTTGGCTCTCTCTCCTGTCCGATGTGCAAGACTCCAATTAAGCTAATGGGCAGACAGAGCAAAGAGCAGAGAGGGAGAGGGAGATAAGGAAAAGGGAAGGAAACGGAGCTTCAGGGGAAGCAACATCATAGAGATGGGGTGGGGGAAAGACAGAGAGAGAGAGAGAGAGAGAGAGATAGACTTTCCATGTGTTGACTTGGCTGGAATCACACACAGCTGGGTGTTTAGCTTCAATTAAGTCTTGGTACTTCAGGAACTCCGGCAATTCAGTGCTCGATCGGCTAAGTTCATTGGGAATGCTGTGTTGTTATACTAATTAGCTTGGGTTTCCTGGGTCCCAGTACTCTTTCAGCTCTTTTAGAGTGCCTTTTCTTGGTTTAGGTTGGTCCAGCTTTGATTTCCTGGGTTCCCAGTAATCTTTCAGGTCTTTTGGGATGGGTTGAGGTCGGTTTAGCTTTGGTTTCCTAGGTTCCTAGTAATCTTTAGGCTCTTTTGGGATGGTTTTTATTAGGTTTTGGTTGGTCCGGAGGCCTGGCGCCCGTAAATCCAAGCCTGGCGCCCGTAATTCTCAGAACCACGACCGTAATTCCCAAGCCGGCGCCCGTAAACCGGAACTGCACGCCCGTAATTCAAGTACCCGGCGCCCGTAAACCCAAGCCACGACCGTAATTCCCTGAAAGGCCTCAAAACCCGCGACCGAAAAAAAGCGTACCAGAACCAAAAAAAAGCGTACTATAACCAAAAATCTGCGTAACTGGTTCTGGGCCCAACAACCATAATTTGCCTGACCGTGCTATAGGGTTTTGAAGGACTTGAGTTGATAGTTGTCGCGGACGCCGGCCTAGATTCAAAGGTTTTGTTTTGCCCCTTTTGGGCATTGCTATGAGCCGGCCCACGAAGCTTATGAGTCGACAGTGGAGTGGAAGCTCCATGCTAGCTGGCCTGGCTGGACTTGGAGCAGTCAAGCAGGAGCTCCCAGATGATCCTGTGCAGCTGCAGCACATGATCCAGGATATCAGAGCGGCGGCATGTCTTCTTTCCTGATATACTAAAGTCTCAACCCTGCTAGGACCTGCAGCTGACTCTGCTGGCCGACCAAGTTCCTGTTTGTGATCAAGCAACCTTACCAGCATCTGATTCCCAATTGGATGCTGCCGGGCTCTCCTCATCTATGAAAGCCCCTCCCGAGGTGCCAACAGATGTCTTAAAGCAAGTCATGTGTGTCGACGGCACGAATCGTGAGAATTACAGATGAACAGGACAAGGAGATGCCAGTGCTATCTGATGTTTACATGGAACTATCCGATGCTGAAGATGACGACACCTTGAAGGCAGCGTGGATTGCACGAGGGGTATATGTGTTTTGTGTGTGTGTGTGTGTGTGTGTGTGTGTCTGTGTGTGCGCGTGTGTGTTGGAGTCTGCTTCTCTTAAATATGCGTGCAATCTCCCTGAGGCAATGCTGCAGGCTGCCTCGCCACGCGTTCAGCAAACCCCATGCAGCCCTCTCCAAACTCCACCTCCAAAGCACACAAGGAGCACGCCATCCCCAGCACCAGAGCCAGCTGCTGGGTGGAATGAGAAGCCCATGGCCTTAAACCCTAGAAACCTTGATCCCTAAGCTCCTACATAAATATATTATAGGATTGTAGATTCCAATTCCCTGAAACAATATCAATGAACCTATAAGCCCTTAGCCTCAAGCCTTTTATCCATGCAGTATCCATTCCAGGCTCAAGATGACCAGCAGAAGATGCTGCTGCAGTTGGTCCAGGCCCAACAGGCGATGATAGAAAAACTTCGACCCCAGCAACTTCCGCCTCGAGCAGCCCTGGAAGCTCCTGTAGCTGAGCCCCTTGCGCAACAGCCGCCACAGCAAGCTGCATCGCCGTCATCCCAGCAAGCGTCACCTCCATCATCCCAGAAGAAGGACCCAGGGCTTATCATTTGCAAAACCCCGAAACCCCAAACTGTCCTGAAGCCAAAGCCGTCTGCACCCACAGTTGTAGACCCTAAACTGGTTCTCAGCCCGGGTTTGCAAACACCATTCCTCTCCAGGACCCTGCAAGTGCTGCGGAGACCAAGCCCGACGATGGCACATCCGATGAGGGTGTGGATGATGATGACGACGCATCCAAGAAGCTGCAGAAACGCATGGAAGCAAAGCTGCGGCGCATGTGTACACACACAAGCACAGGCAGATTGAAAGTCCCGAAGGATGTTCATGATCTATGGCTGCAGCACGGAACGGTCCGCGACGGCCTGGTGGAACTTCTCTCGAAGTGTGACGGGAAGAAGGACGACACATCATACACATACGTGCTTTGCAATCTAGTTCAAAACATCACCATTCAATGTCATGTCAAACCTGAAGCAGGAGGATTTTCTTCGGCAAGTGGAAACCTACAAGGAGACCCTGCGCTACCGGGATCAGGGAACCGACGGAGGGTTCTATACACGGGGTGATATGATCAAGAAGGTTGCTGACGGAGGATTAGGATGGACTCCGTCACTGGGCTTGAAAGATGGTTCTGCTTTGGAGAGATAGGTCTGATTCTTAACTTGTGTTTCCCGGATCTCAGGAACTACGCGGATAAGGTCATCGCATGGTGCCGGGCCCACCCCACTGGTACTATCAGGCCCAAGTGCTTCAACTTTGCCCCTCAACCCTCAGCCCCAACAATCATGAGCGGAGCAAGCAGGAAAAACAAGTACGACGACGACCTCGAGGAGTTCTGGGCGGAGAAACGTACGTGTGGGCGCCAGGGGCTCTCAGAGAAGGAAGGACTTCGAGAGAGCAGCAGCGCAACCGGGGCAACGAACAGCCTCGAGATCGCCGGCATGCGCGGCAATCTCGACAAAGCCTGGGAACGGGACGGGGACGGGAAGTGCTCTGTCGAAACCGCCAGGACTGCAACTGTACCCGCATATGCTATGTTAAAGTTCAAATCCTACTTCAGTAAGGTTGCACTCAGGATAGAGGAATCATGCTTCATCTGAGGCAAAGGACCAAATCCCCGATTACATGAAGGAATGTGTGGCAGCCCGGGACAAGTTGATGAAGTTTGTCGAGAAGCTGGACAGCTCAGATGCTGCAGTGAAGGTGCGGCTCAGCTACAAGCAGATGGGCTAACTGTGATCAGATTTTTCCAGCAGTCTTCAGCAAACAATCTAAGGGAGCTACCGAAGTTGAATGACATCAAAGACTCCCTGGGCAAGCTCTACGATGACTTGGCTGCAATGCAAGCTGAAGCGAAGATCGGAACCATGAGTGATGCGTGCTTTGTCTTACAGACTATATGCATACAACGTAATTGATACTATAAGTTACTAACTCTAGATCCTACATCCTCGACCCGGCACCGCTGAGGCAGAACGAGAAGCTCGATAAGATCTTTGAACATGTCAAGAAGCAGCACCCTGGATGCAATCCATCCTGTAAACAAAGCCTTAATCCTGACCCAGAACAACCCAAACCCAAAATCTTTGATGCACGTTCTGTTCCTGACCTGGAGAAGAATATCCCACACTACACTGGGCCCCGAACCTAAACCTGGTGATAAATCTTGACCCCGAGTCCTGGTAAAGTGTACATGCTCTAGCGGAGCCCAGTCTTAATATCATGTCATGCATCACATAACCTAAAAAGACAAACTAGTAAGCCTATGAACCAAATCATTTCAAGATGAACGCACCTCACCACTTGCAATTTGCTGAGGATGACACTGGCAATTTCATCCGAAGTGAAGAACAAGCCTCTCGCCATGAAGTTCTGTTGTTATCGGTAAGTTGACCCTTATTTTCCGGAAACAGAGCAGCCCCTTAGGAAGCTGAAGAAGAAGGCGACCGCCAAGCGCAAAGAGCCGAGTGCTACTGAGACAAATCCTTCGAGTAAGCAGGCGCCTGAAGAGGCTAAGCCTCCAGTTCGCAGGCGGAAGAAGGGTGCGGCGGCCTAGGGCCCACGTTTGAGATGTGCCTACAGCGCTAAGTTCAACTCTACAAAACTCTAGGCCCTGGGAAAGTTTTGCTTTTGCTGTAGGATGTGAGCCTCAGTTGTTTGTGGCAGCGGGCTGACGATAGCTACATATATATCCGTCGTTGCACTTTGCACTTGTCCGGTTGCTGCAATACAAATTATAATTGATTAGGTCTGTCTAATGCCACATGAAATCACAGCTCTGTGCTCGGTAGGTTTCTCTCTCAAGGAGAATTAGCACAATGTGCTGCTGTCTTTGACTCGACTGTCTGATCGTACAACAGGCGACCAAAATTGTGCTGCCTTGAAATCACTGTGTGCATGCGTATAATCTATATAACAAAAGCCCCGGGTTTCCAGTTCTAGACAGATTGGTGGGCCAGGTCGAGATGCAGAAGATGCTGTATGTCACGGAGCTCGAGTGCTGGCTACAACGTTGGGCACTGGAGCTGGGGCCCCGAGTAGGATAAGGGCTGTTTGGGTCCGGACTCAAAATCGTTCGGAAGTGTGCGCATCGGGATATAAGTTGTAGGATCTCTGAAAGTATGTGGTTTGTTTTACGGTTGAGGTTCCAGGTTCAAGACAAAGGTCTAGTGTTTATAGGGTGGGGTTGATTGCTCTGTAGGGGTGAAGCTCTTTAGAATCAATGCTTCAGAGGCTCGGTGCTTGGGGCATAGGATGTTGGCCTCGGGTCCGGTTGTTGCTGCTGTCCGAATGCAACCCCAGTGCAGCTGTTACTTATAACCATGAAGAATGGTTCGATACACTGACTAAAGAACTGGCTAGTGATGTTGATATATGCATGCACATAAAATATACAGATCAAGAAATGCTTCCTTTGGAATAACCCTATGATAACCAAAGCGCTTAACCCCAAACTTTCCAATACCCAAATTTGACAGCTGGACAGCAGAAATCCCAAACCTGTGAAGCCATGACTGGTCGTGCTGGCAATCCTTACCTGGATTTTATGCTGCAGAACCCTGTCTTATTTCCATGGGGCAGTGACGAAGAACGGGAGGAGGATGTAGCCTTGCGTCGCAGCCGAAGCCCACGCAAAGAGTTCAGCGGGTCAAGGGATGGGCTAGTGGTGCAGGAGGACACTGGTAATCTTATTTCGTGGAAACTGCCAAGTCCTACATTGCTGGCGGGTCGAATCCTTGAGCATTGCCAAGCTGTGATACACCGAGTGCGCTTAGAGAGTGGAGGCCTTGAGCTGGCTATCTACAAGATTGGTATCACACACGAGTGTTATGCACGCTTCGATTTGTACAAAGCTAAAGGATGGGACCAAATGGTCATAATGCACGAAAGTCCTGATTTGGGCTCCGTGGAGATGCTGGAAGCTGCTCTTATCTCCCACCACCGTGGCACAAAGCAGTGTCGCAACATATCTAAGGGTGGGGAGGGCATGAGAAACAAAATGCTCCAACCGAAGTTCGATCCCCCGTACTGTTGCTACGTTGTTTCGGCTCGCGCTGATCGTGCACGATGGGTTCTGTGAAGAGAATTGTAATTCAGCAGTGGTTGAGTGCAGCTCGATTTGCCACTGAAGGAAAACAAGGTTCTGACTTGCATTGCTGTTGCTATCCAAGCCTCGACATCCCAGTTCCCTAAATGATTCCCAAGCTGCTGCTCGCTAAGGCCACGGCGAAGCACGTCGTGAGCATTGCGAAGACCTTCGTCGTTGAGGACTCTTCAAAGGCTCTGCAATCGATGGCTCGCTGCTGCAAGAACGATGCAGAGAAGGCTCTTCAGAAGGTTTTACGGCAGTTTGACTTGACATTGGATGTTCCGATTACGCAGATGACTTGTGCTTCGGGAGTCGATGTACCGGTGCTGCTGCCGCAAGACTTTATCAGAACCCTGTCTGACAAAGGGTTTTTGCATAAGCTCCTTGGTGGGCCTGTTCGGAACAGAACCTTTGGCAGCAGATGATTCCAATCTTTATTCTCTTCTGATGTAAACCTCTTTTCTTAACTCAAAGTTCAATGATTCCCAAAAACTTGCAAATATTCCCGAAAGTGTTAACAACCCCAACAAATACACGCGCCGATGCAGCAGCAGCAGCAGCAGCAGGAGCAACACCAGCTAACAGTATGACGGCAGCAGCAACAACAGAAAACAATGCCACCTGTTTCGCAGCAACACCACCAGCTCCATCACCACCACCACCACTACCAGCAGTGCATCAAGAACAACACCAGCACCAGCAACAAGAAGAAAAACAACAGCAGCTCCGACCCAAGAACAGCTTACATAACCTAAATAGTTTCTGTAGTATCCTGAAATAGTCCAAAGCAGCTACACTTCTTTTACCTTACCAAAGCCCCTCCCAACCCTAAAAGACCACACGGCTTGTGCCGAACTCATCTTGATTAACTTCGACTGTAAGAAGAACTAAAGCGACCCACAAGTAGAATCCTGGTTTCGTTATAGAGGGGAATAGTGGGAGTTATGGGGTTTGATCGCCGGCATGGATTGCTCAGGTGGACCCCGCCTTCAGGAGTTCTGGGAGCGCTACCGGCTGTCAGAGCCGGATCACGACATATGGCTTCATTCCCACATCCAGGAAGATACTTTGGTTCCTCTTTTGGTTCACGGAGACGGCGGGCGCACCTACCGTAAGGACGAACTTATGGTTTTACAATTCCAACCGATGCTGGGATTTGGAACCCGTGCATCCCACCCTGTGTTCCAACCAAGGGCTGCTGCTGGAGTCAATCTGCGAAAACACACCTTCACCACCCGTTTCTTGTTTGGGGTAATGGGCAAAGCATTATACCGAGAAAACCCAGCGTGCTTCACATCCTTTATGACTGGCTTCATGGACAACTTGGCCAAGCTTTTTTTTGATGGGATCACGCTCCAGGGCCAGCACTGGCGATTTGCTGTGCTAGGGGTCAAGGGCGACCTGCCCTTTATATCGCGAGCTGGAAACTTGATCCGTACTTTTTTAAACGTGCGAAAAGCTCCCGAAACCCCCAGGTCGAAGCCACTCACAGGATGCTGTTTTCTTTGCATGGCCGGCACCGCCGACTTCCCATTTGAGGAGTTCACAGATTCTCCAAAGTGGATTCAGACTGCTGGCTCAAAGAATCCCTATCCATGGGAGGTGCTGCCGCCTCTGCTCCAGAGCACGCCTCACAATCGCTCCAATCCAGCTGCACTTTTCCGATTGGACGTGCTACATGTGTACCATCTTGGGATGGGCAGGGACTTCGTGGCAAGTTCGCTCGTCATTTTGCTTGATGTGTACGAAGGAAGTTCGGTTCCGGAATGCCTGGATCTGATGACTGCAGACCTCAGGAGATTTCTTGCGCAGACGCGGCGACAACTACACTTCAAGGTTATCACTCGCGATTTATTGGGCTTCCAGAAAGAGTCGGTCTTTCCGGTCGGACATTGGAGCAAAGCGAGTGACACGCCCATTTTGATGGAATTCCTCCTTTGGCTTCTTGAGCAGCACCGAAGCAAAATGGAAGGGGACCAGCTCCTCAGGGTTATCTATGGGGCCGCAGATGCCATGGGCGTTTTCATGCGTGGGGTGCTTCAAGCTGGGTTATGGCTCACCACTACAGAAGCGACCGCTGCTTATGAGGCTGGAATGCATTTTTTGCGGTCGTATGGGAAATGTGCGAGCCTGGCTTTCCGCCGCCATCTTACCAGGTACAACCTCACGCCGAAATTGCACTGCTGGCACCACATCTGCTTGGATTTGAAAAGAAGCCTGGATCGAGGTCTGCAATATCATCTATCACCGTTGGCAGACGCCAACTTTGCGGACGAGGACTTCGTGGGCCGCGTGTCGCGCTTGTCGCGACGCGTGAGCCCACGCTTGCAGGGACTGCGCACGATCGGACGTTACCTTGCTGCTACACGTTCGCAGCTCACTGCCGGGCAAGGGGACTAATTAGAGGAATGGGAAATAGCATAGAGAAGTAATCCTAAAACCTAAATGGCCCTTGAACTTAGTCTCCGAGCCCTGGAAGTGCCCAGCCTTGATCCATGGATGATGTCGTTGCGACAGGCGCCGAAATTGGCTTCACTCACGATTGGATTTGAAGGGTTTTGGTATTCCAGGGACTTCGGTGGTTAGCTTTCGTTCCAGGGTCTTTCGGCTGAAAGGTTTCGGGTTAGCTGTTCAGTGTAGCTCGAAACACTTTCCAGGGAATACTTCTTCGGTTTGGGCGGGATTTGCTAGCTTCGAGCCGCTGGCCAAAACCCAGACCCAGACGTAAATCTTTGCAGCCCCAAGCTTCTAACGCCTGAGCCCCGAATCCTAACATCAACAAATATGCCTTCAGGCGACACTCGCCCAACCCTTCAAATCCCGATTCCAAAACAACATACATCTTGATCGGAAAGCTAATCCAAAGCCCCAAAACTTTGCACCCAGTTCCTTTCTAAGCAACCTCGATCAAAACCATGCTCTCTCTCCAAAACCATCCCAAACCGCCACGCCCATAAATTCTAAGGGGTTTCTTCATGACTTTGGAAAACCTAGTTATCCTGACGCGGCTAATAATAATGAGGCGGCACAGGCCGCAGGTATATATATATACACGTACAAATAAACGAATATGTATATATACATATATATATATGTGTATATATATATATATATTCGGTTGTGTAAGTATTTGCTTGTTTGAATATGCAAGTGTATCTGCGCATATGTATATATATATATATATATATGTATAGTTATACGTATGCATACTATATATGTACACTTTTGTTTGTAGACATCCAGTATCAAGTCTCGTAGGGTTGGTAGGATCCGACACCCTGACCCCCGAGCCGTCGCCATGCAGTGAGCGGAGCTCGCGCACGGGAAACGACACTGTACTCCCTCTTCCAAAACTCTAAAACCCTAAACCTTTTAGAGTTTAGGGTTTAGGGATTAGGGTTGGGGGTTTAGGGGTTTAGGGTTTAAGGTCTGGGGATTAACCCCTTAACCCTAAATCCCTATAACCCTTCTGTGAACCCCTATGTGAGGGCTACATGAGGGGCGCTACTGATACTGGGCAGGTCGAACCCTGAGAGTTTCCCAGGCACATGGCATCGACTCAACAAGCATGGGCTTTTGAAGTTTAGGAGTTAACGGGTTCAGGGCTTAGGGATTTAGGGTTCTGGGGTTAAGAGGATTGGGGTTCAAAGTTTGCTGCTAAACGTTCAGGGTGCATTCCACTCAGGGAGCTTACAAGAGCCCGCCTCTGCCGCTAAGTCCGGAATTTGAGCCAAGCCGTAGTCGGCTTCGACCAAGAAGACCTGCTGTCTTGCATCCATTCGTAGTGGTAAGTTCCATTTTCGGATTTAGGGCTTAGTGTAGGGTTTCTTTCATAAGGCTTTAGCTCTCTCCTTCAATAACCGGGCCCAAAAAAGTTTAAACTTTCTAAGATAGACCAAATATGTTAGGCCAAAAAGTTTAAAGTTCCCCCATTGGCTATGTAAGTTAGGGTTCTGGAGCCGAAGCTCTCATTTCAAAAAGCATTTCCTAACAACACTAAAGCTCAACACGCAATGCAGCAAGCTCTGTGGTTTTGGCTCGGGGCGTGGAGCTTTTGGGAACGTGGAAATACAGAAATTCGGGCCAGGCTTGAGGCTGCGTGCGTTGCCAGTAGCCCCTGAAGTGGGTACCTCTTCTGCTGTTGCCTTCCAGTTATTCAGAAGAAGGGAACCCTTAAGCAAACAAAAAGCAACAGGGGTACTGCGCCAGAGCCTAGACGTCTAGTGCGGGGTGTCTCTTCCTCCTTTCTGAGAGACTCAGCAACAGGAGGAGGTCCTCAAACCTCGCTGGACCGAGAACCTTGGTGCCGATGTCTGCCGGCATAAACAGTCCAGGGAGATGGATGATCGTCCATCCCAGCTGCTGCGACGCTTGCCTCAAAATGGCTCCCCTCAACCTTAGGTGTCTCGTCCTCCAGGATCCGGCATCCAGCTGAGTCAGCTGAATCGCAGCGGCGTTATCGCCGTACAGCACCCTACTATACCCTACTCAGATCTGGCGGTACTCCATCCAGGGACCATGTTCTGCATAGGGCTTCAATGGTCGGAATGAAAGCCCTGCCCATGTGGTATCCCTCCACCATACTTGTCAACTGCTCTTCTGCTCTTCCGAGGTTGAGGCTGCAATCAGGCTTTGTTTTCCGGCCGCCCACATCACCAGACATCCTGAGCCAAGTCTAGTGGTAGTATCTACGGTAGAACCCCATGAGCTTGGCAGGAAAATTCCATATCTTATTAACAACCTCGCACGGATTGTGTGTGAATATCTGTCCGGCGTATTTCCTCGTCCACGATGTGATACTGCACCTAGCTGGACCTAGCTTCTTTCGCAGGTTCATTCGCTGTTCCTGGCTCTGTAAATTTCACCAATCTCTTCTTACAAGTGCCACGACACGCTGCTGCTCATGTCTTCTTACCTGTGCCACGAGACGCTGCTGCTAGACCCACAACCCTAAACCTAAACCCCTAAACCCAAACGCTGAACCCTAGACCGGAAACCCTAAACCCAAACCCTAAACCCGAAACCCTAAATCCTAGTGAAAACCGGAAAGCTTAGCGCCTGCCTGACGGTCCTCAGTCACATGATACCCCGGAGGTCTTGGCGGGAAGAAGGCGACCTCAGGATTTCATCTTGAGGTTTGGGGTTTGGGGTTTAGGGGTTAGGGGTTTGGAGGTTTAGGGTTCAGGGGGTTTAGGGTTTAGAGGCCAGTGGTTTATGGACTATGAGGGGCGTATAAAATCGTGTAGGAGTATGAAGGCTTGGGGGGGGGGGGGGGGCTTGGGGCTGGCCTTTGAAAGTTTATAGAGTATTAGTTAGGATTTAGTGGCTTGGGGCAGTTTACCTATAGTCTCCATTGTAGTTCCTTTTTTGGGGTACCTTTTAGGATCCTTAATATAAAGCTGGTTAAACCAAAAAAAGGAACTACAATGGAGACTATAGGTAGAGTTCGATGATACATCAAACAGACGGCTTTGAAAGTCCTGAGCTCTGCGTCTGGTGCCAGGAGGTCAGCGGATCTATCAACATCGCGCTGCTCAACAAGTGCAACCCAGAGACTCCAATATCCCTTAATTAAGGAATATTCCTTAGATCATATTAGGGATCCTACTATAGTTTAAGGAATATTCCTTAATTAGGGGATATTGGGCTCTCTGGGAATGCTGGTCCGAACGTACCCTGAGGGATCAACAGCCCACACATTCGTACTTGAGGGCTTTATTTCCGCGCGATATGAGCATGGGCATTACTTGGGTCCGGCCCCCCACGAATAACGACCCACACAAAGCCTATCCCGCATTATCCTGTGCTTGGAGCCTCTAAGGTTCACTCCATCACCACCCACACCCTAAACCCTGAGCCCCAGACCCCAATGCCTAAGCCGTCCAAAACCCCTTAATTAAGGAATATACCTTAAAGTATAATAGGATCCCTAATATAATTTAAGGTATATTCCTTAATTAAGGGGTTTTGGAGGCCCTGGATACCCCGGCCTGACTCACCACGCGTCGCACGAGCCCAGGAACCAAGGAGAGGCATCCGACGCAGCAAATCTGCGCAGGGGTGTTGGGTCCATGATTCAATTTAAACTTCTTGCGTTTGGGGTTTAAGGTTTAGGATTTAGGGTTTTAGAGTGCGCAGTAGAGTTTAGCCAAAAAGTCTTGCTAGGGTGTCGCACTTTGGTAGCTAGGTCAGGGGCCTCGCTGTGGAATATACTCGTCGGGCTGCCGTAGAAATACCAGCCCGGGTCCATTAGCTTGAGTGCTGCATGCTTTTTCCCCAAACCCCTAAACCCTGAACTCCATCCTGTAGTCTCCATTCTAGTTCCTTTCTTTGGCTTGACCGTTTACACTTAAGATCCTAAACGTAACCCGGAAAAGGAACTACAATGCAGACTATAGGGAGTATGCGAACAAATCAAACATCGGAGACCCAGTCTAACTCGTCGGTATATAAATACTACCTACGTCGGGCTACTTGGAGTCTTGCAGGGATTCGGGATTCAGGGGCTTTCCATGGCTGTTCGGTCCTGTGTGGTTTGCTGTAGGGTTTTCGGGTTTTAATTTTGCTGCTTGTTGCCGGTCTCTGGGATTGAAGGGCTTAACATCTTGCTATAACATACAGTACAATACAAGACTAGACTATATACCACACTATACTAGACTACATTAAAGTGTACTATACAAAGCATAGCATACAATGAATTTGCTGTTGAGGACAGAATGGTTTTGCGCCTGCGGGTGCTAGGGTTTAGGGCTTCAAGTCTCTACGTTTGGGAGCTTTTTGACGCCTCGGCCTCATTATTCTACATGCTGTTGGGGTTCAGGTCGTTTTAGGTGTATTTCCTTGGTTCGGAGAGGAGAGAACGGGTAAGTCGATGAGGATAAGGCTCTTGGGTATATGTATAGTGCAATCATTGAGGACTGATACCATAGTATACTGACGGACTCAACCAAATATCCTGCAACCCCAAACGTTCCAAAGCAGGGACTGTCTACAAGGCATCCACTGCAAGATTGGAGCCCCGCAGAAAGTGTACATCGCAGTACGTCCCCCTGAAACCCAAATCCCTAGACCGTGAACCCAAACTCCCAAACCCAAACCCTAAAGTTTTAAAGCCTTTACAGCCTAATCCCTAAAGTCTAAAACCTAAAACCCACGGCCCAAACCCTAAACCCTCGACCCGAAATCCTAGAACCCCGAATTTTGTTTGGAGCTCCGGCCCGGTAGCGGCTTAAACATGCGCTCAGGGCAACGGCGCGCAGAGTGTAGGGCAGTGTAGGGTTTGGGTTCCTATACTGAACTTGGAACCCTAGCAAAAATCATAATTTTAGCTGTTTCTGAGGGATTATAATAACAAAAAATTAGAAATTATTTCTAAGTGCGCCTAAGTGTAGGGCAGC